ACATTGAATGATGACCCTTATAGTTTAGGTCGACTTGTTTAGCTAAAGGCTTTCTGTCAAGCATCCCCGCCATTTGGTACTCCACCGTGTCACGTTCGTGCACTATCACTAGCCAGCTAAGCAATCCTCTCGCACCAGAGTGTGGTCCCGAAATATATATCGTAATTTGGACGATCAAATGCTGTCTTTTGCTTTGCATCCGGTCCACGAGAAACGAATACTATAGAAGCTGTTGGTATAAGGTCTTCCGTTAGTATACCCCATACAGTTCGCAAACGTCTTTACCGTCAGCATCTAAACTATCAAACTAACCACGCGAATCACCAACCGATAGCTGATGATACTGCAGAAGACTAATTCTGACTCTAAGATTTTATTTTTTTAAGGCACAGCAATGGAAAAGTGAGGCGCCTTGCCTAATCAAGCAAGCGGAGGTGCATCCGTCATTCGGCATATGGAGAAATCTTTGCAAATAAAAAAGAAGTTATAGTTCGTATTTGGCCACCCATATAATCCTTCATGCTTCTTTGGTCACTAGCTGGACCTTACTGACCATAGCACACATTGTCGTAGGGGCCCCACAACAGTACTTCACAAAGTTATGAACTACTTCAGCTTGTAGTCAGAAATCATTTTGGAGGCCAACCAGTACACTCATCAAGAACACATAAGAAAGAAGAAAAGGTGCTATAGTGACTTTGGATAAATTTAAGTTCATGATGCAACGGATATTTAGTTCGGAAACGTTTGAGATGGACTGCGCAAAATCACTGAAAGAGTGGTTGTGATCGCCCATGTGGTTTGTAGTATTATGTTCTGTCCATTTCAAGTGCGTCATGCTGTGCGCAAGAAGGTAAGTGTCGTTAAAATTAGACGTTATTCATGCCAGACACGGAATTCAGTTGTTTAGGAATATATTCGCCGACCGTTACTTGAAGAGCTTGTTTGGAGGCAATTTCCATAAACAACGATAAATTGTTCTGCACACTGTAGTTATTTAAGCATCAAATGCCGATCGGATATGAGGGCCGGGAGATGCATTAACTGGCATAAAACGATGAACCTGAGGGCTGCCACTTACATCGTCAGCCAGTCGTCATTTAGTAATAACACGAACAATCACGTTACTTGCTTACATAATTTAGTCACATGAAATTTGTGTAGAGCCATTGCCCCTACAAAAATGCTTACAGAAAGTTCACCATTATAATGTTAGTTGGTAACAACTAAAGGAAGGAGGACGGCCAGATAAAAACTAGGCAGTAGAATGTCATCCATAGAGTAGCTACTTTCAAAGTTAACACACCACACCGAAAGGAAAGTGGTTGCCTACTTGTAGGGATGAGGGATACGTTAATGAAAATCTGTACATTCAATTGGGTGCACGTTTTTGGCAGATTCACTCTCCCAGATAGACATGTACCTACAGCCCTCGCCATATGCAGGCTTTCTTTTGTCATTACGTGGAAGACTCGTATTACTTATGGTGATGGTGACGATAATTCAAACATGTAATGGTCTCGCATCACGTCTGGGATGACGTCAAGGAGTCACGGAAAGTGGATCTTGCATTTGTAAGTCATAGCCAGCATTACAAGATTCCCGGTGCATGAGTAAGTAGTGCGTCAGACTTCGTCATTTGGAACAGCAGTTTAAGAAGCTATCGTCAGATATACTTACTTAAGTGAAATGCAAAGTGCATACTCCACGTGGATGGGAGGGGGAAAGGAAGAATCTTAGATGTGTCACGATGCCAACAGTCTTGTAGAAGACGGAAAAGCCCTTTTATGGGGACCCATTTCATTGACTTTATTGATTCGAGTTATAGTCTTTTGTTTGTTCACAGTGTGGAGAAATAAATGTGCCTCTAGAAATCAGGAAAAACTACTATATATTTGAGATTGGATTTTGTTCAAACATGAAGGACTATTCAGTAGCTGCTCAACATTATGTACCATGGGTCATAAGCCTGTAAAATGTGCATGAGTTTCAAAACAGCCGTCCACAATCCTCAAGAAAATGGCATGGTAGAATGATTTCATCGATAGCTGAACGCTAAATCATCAGCCACAAATGTTCCACAGTGGACTGAGCTATTACCTTTAGTCATACTCGGGGTAAGAAAAGCAATGCTGGCCATACAACTTCTGAGTTGCTGTGTGGGACAACACTACCACTGTCGAGTGAGTTTATTTCGCCCCCTAGTTTCCCGCTAGTTGTAGGCCAGGCCTCTTATGTTAACAAGCTTACAAACATGATGCATCAGGCATGTTGACAACCTATAAACCTTTTTATCCGCACCTAAAGACATCTTTACCTATATTTGTTCACAGTGACTTAAGTTACGTGCTGGAACATATTCAGTATGGGCCATATAAATGCCTAAAGAAATTCTAGGTGGTAGGGAGAAGAGTCAGCAGAGACTGTGCTCGCACCAATCGCCTGAAGTCGGTCTACTTAGAGGACAGTTCATGAACCCCAAACCATTCGTTCCGCACAACAGAATATTCGTTAATACCCGGAAGGAATAACCGGCACAGCGATGAAAACAGAAGCCTCTAACCAGACGGAGAAAAAACACCTTGACGTGCAGTGATGTTCCTACAACACCTTAATATCTTATGCGACAGGACAGACGTGTATTATTTTTCAAAATAACGAAACCTTAATGCTTAACTACCTTATTGAAAACAAGTAGATTGTTTTGTACTGTATCCGGTGTCTTAGGCTAAATATATTCTGCATGATATCATACGTGACGCATCGACCATTCTAAAAGTAGTGGTGCTTATAAGTTCGAGAATGGGCAACCTTTTGTGCAACCTTAGTTTTCACTCTTAATGTGCTACCTGCATTGTCAGCTTTGTCTTGAATATCATGTTAACACTCAGATGGAGATTTATTGAAATAAAACTTGGAAAAAATAAGATTACTCTTGCATAATAATTATCAATCCTATGACTTTAAGTAGCACAACTGCTTTGATGAACAAACCCCCCGAATAACTCTATTTATTGTACCTTCGAATGGACGACATTCATGGGTAAACTGCAAAACCATATACAACTGACGAATTAAGGAATACATGATCGGAAAGGTGAACTACCTTTTTTCCCCGTAGTTGCTAAATCCTACATCTATTGTCACAAAAGTGATAAGCACAAATAATTTAGTCAACCAACCAACTGTGAAACCAGGTCAAAATTGGTAGAGTTAAGGCAATACTTTAGGATTAAAATGCAAATAATGTACATTATTTTACTTCTTCTAGTGTGTTTATGCGTCACACTGATTCTCCAAAAACCCCTTAAAATGCTGCCAGTTTCTGACAGTGCAGATGCAGTATTTCCGTTGAAATAACTTATGTAAAGAATTAAACTTCGTTTTCCTGAAAGTTCTGTTAACAGTCGTAGGCTGGCGTCACATAATGTCAGCACTTACTTCTCAAAAAATTCTTTGGTTCTCTTCAAGACGGACTGTATGTATAAGTGCAGATCTTCGAGTAGGTTTTACCAGAAATCACCTCAATTGAAAATAAAAACAAATTTTGCAAAGAACAAGATTTTCAGTGGGAAATATTATTATCCTATTACTTATTTGACCTTTTAATTGCAACATTCCGACATAATTCTCTTGAAGCAAATTCCTACGTCCAACACCTACGGCGTGACTAAGTCAGATCAGGCCATCTCACAGCTTGTGCTAACTATGGTTTCGAAGGGTTTGGGAAAAATTTTAAAAATTTTTGGTAGGAACTGCTTCCATTCACGCGGTTTACAGGTGAAATTTTAGCTCAAAACCTTCACCTCTCTTCAGCAATAATAAAGATTTATTTCATATAACATGTGAACATATTATACCAACATTTTCAGCGTATTTGGTTCCGAAATACTTTCTTTTTCATACAGGATTTACATGTAAAGTAATAATCTGAAGTATATCTTGATTTCTTTGAGAAATCGCGCAGTGTCTACTAGCAGACAAGTTAAATCAAAGTTCATCTATATGTATACGTTTTCTGATATGACTAGCCAATTAGAACAACGATATATTCAGATGGAATTAAGTATTTCGGGGTGAAGCAGTTTCAGTAACTCAGATGAGATAATAACTTGTCATTTGCCAACATTGTTATTAGAGGGTCCTGCGCGTTCACAGTGACGTTCAAATCAAGCCTTTAGAGCACAGTAAATGCAGTTTTACGCCGTGAGGAAGGTGAGGAGTATCTAGGGAGCAACTAGTTTGGTGGAGTCTGGTTTCCAATCTTTAGTAACACGTATCTCATTTTAAAGCAGTACCTAATGAATCGAGCTGACATGAAATTCAAAATCAGTCCAACAAATACTTATTGTTCTCCCCTCCATGTAACTGGCTGCAGGCAAGACTATATGTTACCTTTCTGAAGTGCAGAGGTAGTCGAATCGATTGTTCGGTGGCTTATGGTGCACTGAGAAGGCAGAATTTCCTTTTTCGTGAAGTCATCACATAGCTACCCTCTCTTCACAAACAGCAAAGATAGTGATGGTATTATAGCATTCATTTTACGCACAGTGTTATTCTTTAACCCTCAACAGCAGTTTGGCCAATATACTTGTACGCTGAAGGTTTCAATTAGTACCCTCGATATTATTCCCCACTTGTTTGTAACTGTGCTTATCACAACATGCACGCTTGTCAGTGTGTCAAAGAATACTAATAAAGAACCAGTCTAATTTGATGTATCGGCACTACAAAAGTAAACTAAAAATATGAAAAGTGATGGGCTTTTTGTGAAAGCAGAACAGTGATTGATTAAATTGTTCGTTCTTTGCTATATTTTGCTAATGATTAACCTGAAGCTTAAGTTCGGAACAGCAGATAAAACATTTGCCCATTTTTCATGGATTAAACAAACCGAATATGAGTAGACGAATAGTTATCTAGATGACTAGTCATACTACCACATTTGACTTTAAAAGCATCATTTAGGGAGTACACGGTATTAGATATGGCGGGCTTCTGATTGTTGCCTAACAAGGCCACAATGATGGTATGGAGGCACTTATAGCCAAACTCGCTGTTTATGATTGGACAGATGTAAGAGGATTTTTCTCTTCGCTCCTTGTTAACGTAAATGTTTTGCTGAAAAACACCAATGGATTGGTTTTTGTCCTTACAATAGTTTTATCAACATTTATAACTATATACATATGGAAAATCGGACCAAAGGAGTTAAGTAAACGAAAGAAAAATGTTCGGGAAATAGACAGTTGTAGTGACCATGAATCTGCAGACATCGAACATCTGCATAGGCTATATAAATCAAATAACTTAACTGCATCCATACTATGTAATGCTTGGTTGTTCAAAGTCAATGATTGCATCAATAACTCTTTGGTAAGCCGCAATTTATTTTAAATTTGTTCTTCAGGAAAAAGAAAGTGTACATTTTAATCCATTTTCTGAATGCACTTTGTCAGACGTTAAAACTTCGTCTTTCGAAGTGCATCGAGAAGAATCCTCTGAAAATCTGGTTTGTTCATTTCTTATTTTACTATAGCAATAAGACTTTATACTTTTCTGTTTCAATACCTATGTTGTACATGCATGGCGACCTTATCTACAAACAAAGTAAACAGTCTCAAAAAATCACAGTTTCATTGAAAAATTATTTCATGAAGGTTTATACTAGTTAGATTATTTATTCTTTGCTTAGATGTGTTGTAAAGTACAAGCTGTTGATATGACGATATCCAAATTAGTAATGTGCTCCACCTCCTCACCTCAATTTGATGTAAAAATGGATGCGAAAATGTTCATACCAGTAAGTTTTAACTGTTTAAAGATTCCTCGTGTTTAGTCGTCTGAATTTAAGAAGCTACTTGTCAAGATTATTTCAGAACTTACTGTATTCTGGAGGCCAGACGATATGACGAAACAGTGTCCAAGTAGCACAGATACATTACTTTGTAAAGAGAATCAGGTTAGTATCTTTGATTGACGTAAGATATTCTTTTGGTTGTAATTCGCTATTTCCGGGTAAATGTATTCTTAAGCATTGATTGAGTGTTACTGAACAAGAGAGCAATATGTCAGAGTTTATGTTAGGATGTTTTCACTCAAACTTGATTCTAGTTTATTTATCTTTAATTAAGCGGTTAATTTGTGAAATACCTTCACTCATATATATATATATATATATATATATATATATATATATATAAATCCATGCTTTTACTTCATGACTGTACAACAGTACTCATGGATAGGAGATAGCACTTTGAAGGCGGCCTGTAGTAATTTCCTCTATATGAATCTCTGTGGAAATCTAGGTTCTTTCGAGAGTGTTTACTGAAGAGACGCACTTCACTTGACTCCGAAAATACTCAATAGGTAGTATGAATTTAATGGTGGAGAAAGTAAAATTATGATCCTAATGATTTCTGTCAGTACAAAAGCGGTGAATAAAATACTATGATTTAGTTATCAATGAGTTTAGAGAATATCAGGTTTTCTGAAAAAACTTGAGATACTAAGGTAGACTAGATTCACAGTTACAGAAAAATATTTAGTGATGAAACATGCCTTCAAGTCAATAAATTTTATTAACAAAATCGTTAGTTCACAGGCTGATGTACACTTATTTACCTTTTATTTCTGGTGGAAATATAAATGTTGCTCTAGACTGGAGAAACTTCATCTCATCCTAAAGCGCAAGAACATAAAGCTTTCATAGATTCAACCCACAAATGGACAGACTCAGCAGTCAAAACGCTCTCCTGCGAATTAAATAACCTGGACTTTGTCAATCAAAATGAATTTAAAATTGTGAACCGATGTGATTCTGAACGACATACGGGAGTAAAACCAACTATACCGAAGGATGAAATCGCTCTTCTGGTAGCTCAAAAAGACAAACCGTCTTCTCCTATCGTACTTTCACACAATGCTCGTTTGCGTCAGTCCCTAGTAGCTCGTCAGCTTCCAAGGCCATTTATGAGTAAAATGATCAGGTCAGCATCTTGCTATGGTGAAGAAGGTACAACAGGCTTGTTACAAGAACGAGAGACTGAATATGTGGACTTAAACAGTCAAAATATGGAACAAAGTAAGGTGGAACCTACGGTGCAGTTACAAATTGATAGTGAATTCTCGTCTCCCAGTAAAGTAGAGTTGATCGATTCGAGAATAATGAAAAAAGAAATTGAAAATTCAAGTAGTCAAACTACAGAACGCTGTGATTCATCACAGGATTTTTATCATCGTAATTCAATGCGCAAACCAACTACCAAAGTAGATGTATCACCTTTGAGAGAAAGAATCGCACAGAATCTCGCATCAAAAAAGCTTTTGGTTAAAGTAGTCAAGGCAGAGGAACTTTCAGTGAAAAGTGAGTTGTTAATCTATTATTTAAAACTAATCTATGAAGTCATCGCCTTATTAAGATTAAATCTATTGTCAACTATTATTTGACTATATTTTACTTAAAAATATTATAAAGAAGCTCACCATTACGAAATTGTGTGACTGCTTATGGTTACAGGAAAGTGGGTTAGTTAATAAAACGACAGAATAAGTAAATCCTCTTGATTCCATTTCGTTTGGGATTTAGCCCTCTTATTCAAGTACATTTTATTGCATACCAGCTGGAAACAAGCTAAACATACATTTGCTTAGATGCGTAAATTCTCTTCGAGTAGAAAGTCTGTAGAGAACTGAAAGACAGTTTCATATAGTTTTTCGCTAAAAGTTAAAAATAACATTCTCTTCTACCGGGACATTGTGTTTACAGTTTGTTTATCTCGAACATATTCTCACTGTCTACAAATCTGGGCATAGTTTATTGTTGGTACTCAACAGAAGTAATATTATTTGGGAAATACGGTGTTAATGAAGTACTTTAGGGTTTCCGTAGTGAATGATATCACTAGAGACGCCCATTTTCCACGTGTAACTCAACAAATTAGAGATATATGTAACGAGAATGCATACCTGCTTGAATTCGTGCAAATTGGTGCTCACTGAAAACCTTAATAATCTCGGTTTGCATTGAAGTCATAACTGTTTTAGATCAAAATCCACTTCTTCGTTAGCCAATTGTTTCTTTGACTGTATGCAACATAGTGATCTAGTCCTAATTTTGTTAAGTGAAGTCTATAAATCAGGTACTTCGTATGGCCATAAAACGTAAAGAAGACCTGCAACCAATGTATTTACATCAACCACTCCTACTAGGAGCCATCTATAACTTTATTAGATTTGTTCACGTAGTAACTAACCTTAGCACTGAGGTGTTCTTAGGTTACCAGTATTAATTAATGCTAACTCTCAACTGACATTTTAAGCCCGACACCAAGCTTCAATCGTCTAATCGCGATAGGAAAGTAGGCATATTCAGGATGTGTTTATCGTTTTGATAGCTTCAAGAATGATGCGCAACAACACACTAATTAATTTACACACACTGGAGATGAGCAACCCACAAGATTTCGGTAGGGATAGAGGTACGAGTTACAAGTTCTAATACCGCTTTACTTATCAAGCTTTTGACAGTAAAGTAGTATCTTTAGGTCTCATAATATTTGCGGCTTCATGCCAAGTGCAGTCAAGTACACGTAGCTGTTGAGTAATATCTTCCAATTAATCCAGGTGAACCACTAGAGTTGGCTTGTTTAGTATGAAACCGTCAACCTGTGTAGTGTTAATCTGAACTCACAGTCCAACACTGAGCTTTGTCGTATGAGAAGCATTATAAAAAGATAATCAGTTTTATTTAAGAATTAGGACGCTTGCGTTTCAACTTTGAAATTCTTATTGTGATGGTTATGTTCTCATTTATGTGAGCAAAACAACCTAGTTTTAGAGACACAGAATCATGCTTTTAGGGAAATATTTTCTGTTCACCAACCCTGGTACTCACGACATAACTGGGAATATTGATAAAGCATGATGTGGAACTCTGAATGAAAGTTGCGTTAGATCAACTTCAATTAATACATGATGACCTCTCGGATGAAGTACTGAAGATCACATTACTCATTGGCTCAAAAGCAGTCATTTATGGGGATCGTATCTTTTTTCCTCTAATATCAAAGTACTACATTTGAAGAACTCTCCTCTGAATTTAGGTAATGTCACATATGTTAATGTTACGTATTCTGACTGTGGTGGTACTTTCTTTAGCTTTGCAAGCATCCTCATTGTGAATAATTATAATCATCATTATTAGCTAAGTTCAAAACATTTACCACATTATTATCTGATCTACAAAATCACCGTCATTGGTTAAAATTTTTATATATAAATCTATGTAAATTAGAGTAAAGACTGAATAAGATCTAATTGAAAACAATATTGTTCGCTTATATGTTTTGTTTTAATGTGAGTAGCCGCATGTCCACCCTGTTATCTGTGGACGTTTCTTTCGATGTTGTTATAGTAGATTGAGAGATACATTTCTTGGTACTCATTTCCTTTCAGGTTTGTGTTTGAATAGAGTAAAAAATAGATGGCTAATTACTATGGATGCATAACCTAGTCTTATTGCTAGGTGCATCAGGTTGACATGTTTTGTGTGTCTGGACATCTAGATGGATTAAATAAGAGAGAGAGGAGAGAAAACTAAGGTAATATAACCAAAAGTAGTAGAATGCTACTATTTTTTATTACAGCTTGATGTCACACCGTATTTTCGGTACAGTTATGAAATTTTCAGCATGTGATATCGGTAGCCCAAATTCTGCAGGCTGACCATAGATATCAGGTGTGCGCCGGCAGGGGATCGAACCTCGAACCACGTGCACGGTTGGCGAGAGTCCTAACCATTGTGCCACCGACGCACACCACATGAATGAGGAGTAGGTTTGCATCACCACGGCTCCGGCTCGCAACATCTACAGTCTAGCAGTAGAACCGTGTGGTTATATAAACCTTAGTGAAGTAAAACACACTGGTTGGAGCAACAACCAGTTGTTTTACAGATTACTTAAGAGTATTAGTCTTTCTACCCTTAGATTCTTTCAAATTAATCACAATTTTGCTATTGTTGTAGGTTGAGGCTTTAAATTCCCTATATTTTGCTTGCAATTGGAAGCATATATTCTTCGTGCTATATTTGAAATGATAAGAATGAGAAAAAATTTGAACCGATATTATTGATCTCTTTGGTATTTTTTCTATTTGTAAGTTAAAAGAATTATGAGACCACCTTGCCCAGTTTACATTTTAAGTGGTGTTTATCTAGTAACATTTATATCACTGTACCATCAATTACAATTTACAGGCATTTCTGGTGCTTACTGTGTCGTTGAATTAGATGAGCCATATCAGAGACATTCAACTCATTGTTCAATGTCTGGACAGTTATTCTGGGACCAACATTTGCTTTTGTAAGTCGAAAGTGTTGATATATATGTATTCATATATTTGGGGGTGTGACTTACTGGGTTAAGCTGTTGACTTCCAACCAACCTTTTGACTTCCACCCCACCTATTGCGGTTCGGGAGGCTAAGAACCATCACGCTTCACAAAAGGGAGGTCCTTCATTTTCAGGCGTTTATGAATTCATACGTTTGTCAAACAACATTTCATTGTTTGAAACCTATGCTAACACTTCGGGTGCAACGAGATGTATTGACCTAAAACAAGAGGGCGAAAATAGCCTTTTGTCATATATATATATATATATATATATATATATATAAATGTAGAGAGAGAGAGGGTGGTACATATTCTGACTTTGGTAGTACTTTCTTTAGCTACACAAGCATCCTCATTTATCACTGTCTTTGTTTGCAGTAAAAAGCTCCTCTCAGAGGTGTTTGCTGTTTTGTTTCACGTTGGAATATGTACTTGTATCACATTCTTTATATAGGCTTTAAGAGTATAAGGACTTTACTGTAGCCTACTATTCAGTGTTCAGTAGATTTATTGCCTAGATTTTTAATAAGATTGTAATTTAAAGAAATAGTGAAACCAGTATTCAACATTATTATAACCAAACTGATTTACGAAATTCGGGTTATTCATTTTTCAGAGCATAAGGCTGAAAAAAAGCTTCTGACAAAATCACTTTACTTCACAAAATAACTAGAAGGTATAGCAGGGCAACATCTCACAAGAAAATCTGACTGTTTACCATACTTTGCATTTTGTATGGAAGTTAAGAGTTCAAGAATAGAAAAGTGTAGGTTGAGAGGCTAGATAAAAAATCCGTGATATAAAGTCCTAAACGGATAATGCTGCACTTCAGTGAAAATTAAGACATCTACTTTATGGTTCCGTATGCAAAAAGCGTCTTGGCTATAGGAGTCAATGTTTTAGCACCGTAAATCAACGAATCATAATCTTTCTGGAACGGGAATATATCACATGGCTACCGACAAGTGTATGCTATTATTGTTTTTTCTTTATGAAGCAATACTATTCGATCGATGGAGGTGTGACAAATCTGTCCTCTCCTTTGACGGAGTTTTGAAATTGTTGATAAACTTTACAAGATACTTATTGATCGTCAAATATTTTCAGATCCCAGTGTTATCAGAGACTGTAATGCTAAAGGACAACTGTTCTTTTCAAAAACACATGCTGGTGTTCAAGCATTTGTCATTATTTGCGATAGATAATTTTCCCACCCTTTTTCTATATCCGTGGTAGGGTTATTTGTTAGTACAACATAGATCCAAGAGGATTCTCCATTCCATTTAAGTTTTTTTAAAACTTTTTCATTAACCTGGCACGAGCATTACACACATAATTTTTATCATGCATGATACTTTGAGTGTAAATGATACCTTTTATTTTTTTAATTTCAGTGATCTAAACAATAATTCCAAACGTATCGCACTTGAAGTTTTTGAGTTGGGCAAGAGAAAAAGTTAGTTCTTTTCCCTTAATAAACATTTAATTTAAGTTAGCCGCTTTGAAGTTTCAACGGTGTAATCCTGCACATCTTAAAAATTGTTGAGTTCTTATCTATTAGGCTGTGATCAGCAGACTGAACCTTAACCCAACCTATTGTGTAACTCATAATGCAATAGAGAAACCTATACTTGGTCGCTTATGTGCATTTCTCGCGCATATTGTAGATACAGCAAATTAGGTTGTATTTTGAAGGTAGTTTCAGTTGCATGCCGACTAACGACAAGTGTGTGTAGGCAATAGTTGGGAAATTATTTTTACGCTGAAGGGGAAGACAGAATAATAATAAAAATTCTTACTGTGACCGAAGTAAAATTAAACGTATTTTAACTGATTAAAAATGCCCATTAAAATTTTCAAAAGAATGGATACTGAACAAAGAGTACTCTTCTCGATAACTTTATCATCAGGCGCTACAGTTACATATACATTATAGTGAATGAATCAATTAGTGTTATGAACAACATTAATGCTGTGTAAATAACATCGAATCAATAATATTGATAGATTGCAGCTCAACAGCATCAACATAAAATAAGCTGAATGTCAGAAGAATGAGGAAGGATAATATTGGAAATTCATGAATTTATAGTCTCTACTGAAGGCTGGCCAGGGCAGTAGTAGGGGCTAGCTGGACTTGCTTCTTTTGAACACAGAGCACTGGTTGTTTGAGGTGAATTGCAATAGCCTCTGCTGTTTGGAGCACGTGGTGCTTCGATGATTTTGGCAATTTATTAGGCACCTGGTAGATTATAGAGAAGGATTCTTCCACGCTGGCTGGCTTTGTGGCCGGTTTGCACCAGATGGTCCAATATCGAACTGTTAATGGTTTTAACTATACCTTTACTTGGCCATAGTGGGATATGTTCTCGAGTGAGCACGAAAAATCAAGTTCCTAGAGCAAAGGCCAATATAACTCGCCCCACAAGCACACTTGGATTGGTGAATACAATTTGAAGTAGCTAGTCTAGGTACATCATCTTTCAGACGAGGTGGCGCCATCGGTCGTGTAGACAATAAGACGTGTAGTTAGCCAGCATTAAAAGTTCTTTGAACTGATTTTCTTAATTTCCTCGTAATTATCTCACTTGGTATATCGCCCTTGAATTGTAGTCGCACAAATGTCTTTATAGTTCAGTTATTTTCATTAACTTCGTTTAGACATATGTATATATATATTCCTTTAATTAATATATAGTATAAGAGGTAGAATGCATAACGATGCTGGCTGCTTTTTTCGTCCAGTTTGTATGCGATTTTTCTCTAGATTCATTGACTTCATTTGGTTTACCCTGATTTCTTCTATACGCCTTTTTTTATTTAACCTTATCAATTACATCAGCAATTGGGAATGCTTTGTCTTGTTAACCAATAGTAGTTTGCGTTGTCATTGTTCCTACACTTTTGTAAATTTTTTGCAGAATCATATTCAAGAGGTCGTGCAGAACTGTTATTGGTACATCTCCTAACTAACCCTAATAGTGATGGGGATAATGAAACAAATCTTTGTAATATAAGTGATACAATCCGACGACGGATACCTCTTATCGATCGATCAGGTGTTTCAGTTGAAAGTGCAAGTACGTCTAATACCAATTCACCTGCACTTCAGTCTCCTGGTATTGGGAACAGTCTTTCCGTAGCAACAAATCAAAATGTGTCTGCAAATACAAGTAGTTCTGGGCAATCATTTGCAAATGGCATAAGCAGTATTACAGCAGAGGTTGGTTGAACGAGTTTAACTATGTGCAATCATCAATGGCTGATGTATTATCTCTAATGCGAACACTCTCTTGACTAATGATTTTTGTTGGAATTAAGAATTTCTATGTTTTGAGTAACATCCACTCAGCCATCGCTTATTTCCGTATCTGTACAAAAGTTTTAGTTTGTAGTTTATTAATATTATTATTATTCAAGCAGGTGTTTTAAGATTATCAGTTTGTGTTTTGAATAATGGAATTAGTTTCAGACCGATTATGAAGTTTCACCACTAATTCTTCTTAAAGCCAAAGTGTATTATAAGTTAATATCTTTTCAGTAATAAAAATGTGTTCAAATCGCTTAAGAGAACTAGCAGTGTTTGATATTATACGTCCTGGACAACTTCTATTCATATTCAAGTGTTGGTTTGCAGGGATTTGATTGGTTACAGGATTTCATCATGAGCTGACATTGGTTAAAGAACCATCGGAAAACCTGCAGGGAGTACTGGACAGCTGTTTCGTTCTAGTTTGGGGATCTTCATGGGCTAGTGGTCGCGCTATATCGTGAATTTGCAGAAGCTAGAATTCATTAGCTGGCCACTGGATCGAGACCGAGTGGCTTAATGGTCTACGAGCTCACCAGGAGGTCCCGGGTTCGAACCCTGGATGTAGGTGTACACTGATGAAGAGTCCCAAATGAGTACAAAACAGTCATCCAGTACTCAAAGGTTTCCCAATGGTTCTCTAACCAATGTCAGCTCATGATGAAATCTATTCAGATTCATTATAACCCAAATTAAGCAAATATCACTTTGCTATATATATATATATATATATATATATATATATATATATATATAAGCTGCCAAAAGAGGCCATAATAAATGAGTCATACATAATTATCTTGTCCTTACCACTTGTTGAGAATCTTTCAAACATTTCTTTAAGGTCTAGGTGTTCCCAACTCTTTCAACTAACCCAGTAGAGTAAACTAGAGAAAACTATCTGATTATCTGGGCTAAATCTTACTGGGTAAGCTGTTTCTAATTAGGGAAACTGTCTTCTAACTAACAAGAATTATTTATTGATGTTAGAGGTTTTAAAACTAATCACGTCAGTCAGTAATACGTTTTGTTGTGCACCGGTGGTATAGCGGTTAGGACTCTCACCGACCATGCACATGATCCAGGGTTGATCCCCTACCGACGCACACCTGATATCTATGGTCAGCCAGCAAAATTTGGGCTACCGATATCACATGCTGAAAATTCCATACTTGTACCAAAAGTACTGTGTGGAATCGATCTATAATCTATTATTCTTACTATTCACAAATTAGTCAACTTGAATTTGTCAGTGAGTAATAGCATCACTTTTTCATAATCCAAATCATGTAATTAAGCAGTACACAAACAGTTTAATAATAATAATTTTTCCTTCACATTCCCAGTGGAACGTAAGGCTTCAAGCTAGTGACTTGAAGTTTCTGTAGCAGTGTTTATTTTTACAGGATGGGGTTGCTAGCCTCATGCCCAACCTTTCCTCTTTACCAGAATTATTTCCGGCTTAGCGAGGTAAAGGAGTGCGTTGGCCAGGGATCGAACCCCGAACCATGTGCATGGTCGGCGAGCATCCTAACCGCTGTGCTACCGATGCACACAAACAGTTTAGCTTATAATAAATAAATTTGCACTCATTTATTGCGTTTAACTAGTGAATTAATTTTAGTTTGTAAAGATTGCCTACAATATTTCACTGTTTGTTATGCGAAACTATCTTAAAGTTACTATATTGTCTATCTGTTATCACTGATATGCTTCTAGAAAACCAGCTGATTAATAGCGTTTATAAATTGTTTATAAATTGGATATTTTAAAAAGGGATAAGAAAAATTATGGAAAGTGTGCGATATTTTATAGTCACAACGGTTTTCACATCCATGTCTGAATTGTTTTCAGTTCGAAAGCCTAGTGGAATGGTAAATCATAGTGAAATATATGTATTGCACGGAGGATTTCATCATGAGATGACATCAGTTAGAGAACCACTGGAAAACTCGGGAGTATTGGACAGCTGTTTCCTCCTAGCTCCTTGGGACTCTTCTCAGTACACACCCCTCGGGGTTCGAATCCAGGACTTTCTGGTTACAAGGCGAGCTTGTAGACCATTAAGCCATTGGGACCCGATCCAATGGCCAGTCCATGAATTCTAACTTCTGCAAATTCACGACATAGTGCGACCATTTCGCAATGTCTTTTTCAATGAGTTACTGCCTCATCTTCGACCTGCTGTACCCTACTAGTCACAGTTTTCCACTAGAATCCCTCCATGCAATCAAACAAAATCCCTACAAAACCAATACTTGGAAATATATATATATATATTATCAACTGTTAACAAGACATGAAAAAATCACCGTATTTCCACCATTGTATACATATTCTAAATTTTCGCTGTATAAGCGTCAGGATGGATCTTTGGCTGTACTATTGTTCAGAGTTTTTCTCATGTAGGTAAATGCCATATTTCGATGGTTAGAAATGAGTTATGTACCCAACAGAAAGGTGTTGAATTCACCAGTTTCGTGTTTTGATTACTCAGGTGACATTATTTATTCAAATTGTCAAGTTTTTAGTCTGAAATAAATATTTCAATTTCTTAATGAACAAATTTGTGTTTTATAGTTTAATTTCATGGAGAAAGCTACTGAAGATTTCCGTCCTCGTCCAACTCCTAGTTCTTCACAAATACAACGCGTTCCTACATCGAAAGTTTCACAGTCTACTGGTACACAAAATATCAGCCAAGAACATCATTCAACAGATCCCAGTGGTGCTTTTTCACATTCCTCTTCATTAGAATTTTCAAATATTAAAACTACATCTTCAGCACACAACAGAATTGCTATTGAACATACTACTATGCACTCTGTCACGGAACATATTCAAACAGATTCTGGAGAAGAAGTTGATAATAATTTCACGACTTCAAAAGATAAGGATTTTATAAAAAGATCATTAAAAGACGGAAATAATGAGCTGAAATTTTCTGCTTCACTAAGACCTGGGAATACTTCTTCTCCTATATCTAGTCAGCGACATGGTGAATTAGTTCCTATTCGTGGTGCAGATGAAGAACATGCTACTCTACCATCTTCCCCGTTGATTTATGACACAACTAAACTATCAGAAACTAGTTCTGATGGTCATGACTCATTATGTGAAGTAAATGAACAGTTTAAAGAATCCGTTTCTTCCAATGACCCGCATACACATCAAGGACCTACTGAATCAGGTAAGAAGATAAATGCTTGTTGTTTTTTTAATGCAGTATTGACAAACAATAAAATCTATAAAACTACTTAAGGATCAAAATTAACACCTTTTTTCTCGCATAAATTTTGATGTCGCAGACACTAATACGAAATCGCCAGTGAGTTGCATCTCCATGATTATATTTTTAAAATCTATGAACAGTGGAATGTTCAGCATGTCTGATTGATTTCTGTCAGCGCATGTAGTGCAGCATGATCATGTGAGTATTCATTTTAAATTAGTAGGCCAGGTTTTATTTTGATGTGGTTATCTGAGCTGGATGGTTAATTTGCGAAGCTTTCATCGCCCTACTAGGCGACATCTTCAGCGCATACTTCAATTCAATGAAGTGAGCTTTTAGATTTCTCCACGAGTTTATTAATCATCTCTCCTGGTCGGTGACCTTGGACGTGACTGGTTGTTTTTGTGTGTTTTCACACCTTTTAGGCTACTTGTATTGGAACTGATAGTTTCTTTGAATTGAACTTTGATCCTTTGTGTGTGAAGTTTCTTTCTTATCGGTTGATAAATTTTGTCTGCCTCTATGTGTCTATTGATTGATGATTCACTGGAATGCCAAGCTTCTAAAAATTCTCTAGCCTTCTTGTTGTTTCCTCTGTCTAGTATTTGAACGTTGGTTGTCCCAGTCGAATTGATGTCCGTGGTTGTCTGTATGTAGTGATATGAGGGAGTGGATGTCATGCTTTTGGCGGCTAGTTTATATTCATGGACGCGAAGACGAAGGGGACATTCACTTTGGCCAATGTAGTGTTTTTCGCAGTTTTTACGGTCTATTTTGTAGATGATGTTGGTTTTATTTTCTTTCGCTGTTGAGTCTTTTGATTGACATAGAACTGACTGAAGTGACTTTGTTGGTTTGTGTATGATGTATTCCTAAAGGTATGAAGAGTCTTGAAGAGATTTCTGAGATGTCCTTTATATATGGTGGGGCGATTTTCTTTATGCTTTTCTTAGGCACCTTTGATTTGATAGGTTGGCTTGGAGGTATATGTCTTTTGATGAAATTTCGTGTATATCCATTCTTTTGGAAGACGTCCATGAGATATCTTTCTTCAATTGGAGTGCTGCAATGAGTCCTTGCCCTCTTGAATAGTGTTTGTACGCAATTCCTTTTGTGTGTTATTGGGTTGGTGCTGTTGTAATTCAGGATTTAGTCTGTGTGAACTGATTTTCTGTAAACTTGAATTTCTAATTCCCCTGTGGTTGTTCGCTTGACTAATACGTCCAAAAATTTTATTTATTTATTTAATGTAGGCTTGCTTGCAGTTCTTCATATTGTAGTCATAATAATATATTCATCTGAATACCATCCAAGTAATCTAACTTAGGAAACTAGTATTCTTGTGAGGCTTTCTTCAGAAAATAAAAAAGACAAGCTACCATATTTGTATTTTTGAATTAGGTGTAAGAGCACTAACGTCATGTAAGGAAGTCATTCACATATACAGCTTTCTGCCACCATAAAAGAGATTTGAAACCATGAGATTTTCCGTAGGTCTACCTACTTGTGATTCAGTCATACTGAGTGGATTAAATGCCGTGCTGAGACGTAGAGGGATAAGTGGAATAGTGACTGAATTGGTTAATAAACTGATGACGTGGCTGAAAGACACGTAGTGAACATTTAAAAAACCCACCATTTTAGTGGGAGATAAGCGTTACTTGAAAAAACTAAGTTGTTATGTTGGAATTTCTGCACCCTGTGATTACTACAGAACAGCAAATAATGCTACCATTTAGAAATTTCTGTCGATTAGATCTTAACGAAATAGGATTCTAACTCAAATGCATGCATAAGCTAACAACACACATGTACTGATTTTGAAAGATTAAGCTACGAGATATGTAATCTGCCCGAGTAAGTAACTTGTATTGATTGTCTTAGCCCATGAAAAGCAGCGATGACCAATAGTTTAAGGCCTTCAATACTAAACTAATACACTAAGGGTATAAAACTAGTCTCACTAAACAAATATTTTTCAGACCAGCTTAAGCTGGTGAACTTTTATAGTGGAACAGTTGAAATACAACCATCAAGTCACTCCTTCTTTTGATAAGTTATCTAAGTTAGGTTTGTCTGCATAGTCTACCATCCTAGTTTTATCACTAATGAATGGAACAACATCCTTATTGAAATCTCATGAGATAAATTCTACAGACGTTGTTATTCATAGCACCTGCTGATTCTCTCATGTTAAGAAGAAAAAAAAATATCCTGTTATTATAACCGTAACAAGTCTGTATGATGACTGTAGAAATATTACTTCGATTACTTTACTACTATTACAACTTTACTACTTTGATGAAAGCCAACATATGTTATGAAGGCTGTCATCTTGTGTCGTTTCATTTCTGCATCCTACGTACTTCCTTTTTTTTATTTGTTTTTACCTCTGTACTTCATAAGTTTGTTATATCCCCCTGGTACACCGAAAAGCCTTTCAAATTTTTTTTTCTTTCTTTATGAACATTTATCTCTTTATAGTTCTTTTTCATTGAAATGCTGCTTATTCAAAGCTTCTTCAAAAATCTCTACACTCCTTTCCTTATTACAAATGATGATGGATAATGCTTTTTGATTTTCTCCAAATTTCCAAATTTGCCTTATACATATACATATAAATGGTAGATTAAACGCTTACAATATGGTTAAGACTATTTTCCCCTACTTGACGAATAATATTGATCAATTTGATGAATTTGGCCTCTTCTGCTTTCACCTTCTGTTTTTAATCATGTAGACACAAAAGCATTTGTGTGTGTGTGCGTAGGTGTGTGCATTTAACGTTTTTGCTTGTGCGAACATATTGATATATATTTACATGAAGCACATAGAATAGCTGGCATATTAAATGCTTTTTTCTTTTCCTTCTTCTTCTTCTGCTTTAAGGTTGATTCTAGGATTGTACATTCTAAAGTGTTTTCCTTCTCCTATATATAGCATATGGGCTTGTATATGTATACATGTTATGTATGTATGTATGTATGTGTGTATGTATGTGTGTATGTATGTATGTATGTATGCATATATGTATATATGTGTTCATTCGGTTTGTGCTGCATTTCCTTATCGATCCATGTTAGCTTTATAAGCTTTTATCATACAATACAGTGCATGCAGCTGTTGAAGAACAGTTAAATAAAAAAAGCAACAATAGTGCATATTCTATTCTATTCTATTCTAAGGAGGTGTTAATACTGATAATATTGAATGGATATCATTATCATATGGAGATAGCAATTCTAATGCATACATTATCTAGTGCAAGATAAGTAAAGGGAATTTAGTTTTATTATTATTGTCATACGCATAAGGAGGATAATTTTCACTATCATTTAACTTCTGACACTTTTCTTTTTTCATATTTTAAATCTTTGATATATATTTTTTTATTCACACTATTTCCCCTCTGTATATACATAAACTTATGTTGAAAAAAAACCGATAAAAAAAAGATCAAAAGGAAGCAAAACAGTATATAACTATATTAATTTCTTTCTTTGATTCTTATCTTCAGAGTACATAGTATCTGATCATCAATCTAGGTGTGTTATCTTATTGCATATGAAGTTGATTGGCATCTGAGTAATTGAGGTGTAAAATGTTATCCAAAAAACGGACGAGGATGTCAAATCGAGCGAGAATCGGGAAGGCGAGCGAGAAACACACTCATCAACCTGAAATCAATCTGGAAATCTTCGTCACTCAGCCAACATCAACAACAAAATCCATTCGGATTTTCAATACAACCGTCACGTCAGTTAGCTCTTCTATACGGATCAGAAACTTGACGGGTGGGCCACAAAGAATATTTCCAACGGCCTGTTGCAGATCTTTATCAACCAACAACTGTCTTCGCTGGATCTATACTGAAAATCAGATGGCCGGCCGGGCTGGGCCGGAAACAATCACCAACAAGAAACTATGGTTGGGAACAAACAAAACAAGAACCAATCAATCGTCAACCAACAAATATGCAGGAGAAAGTGGGGATGGATTGGATGGACACTCACTGAGGAGACCGCTGGGTGACATCGCGCGCGCGTCAGGCCATTGCTTGAGTGGAACCAGGCCGAAAGGAAAGCGGCGTGTGGGACGTCAGTGTAAGGGTGGCATGAAGGAGATGGTGTGAAGAGGAGTTGAAACAGTATGGTCTAACATGGATTCAGGCGAAAAGTTCAGCAGAAGGAAGACAGAAGGAAAAGGAGACGTGCAGTTGAAGCCCTATGCTCCACTAGGAACCCATGGGAACAATAATAATAAAAATAAAAATATTCTCCATAAAAGCAGTCACGAATTGACGGAAGTGAGAATTCATGTGCCATTGGATTCCATCCCAGTGGCTGAATAGTCAATGAAGTCGCCTCGTAAACTAAAGGTGCTGGGTTCGACATCTGGTAAAATCATGGGCGGGGACTTCGGAGGAGTCCTAAACCAGGGAAGAAACAACTGCCTTGTATTCTCTGGTTTTCTAACTGAAGTTGGTCCGTAATCATTAAATTTGAAACCGAAAGCAGTGATGTAGAACTAAGCATATGAAGGAGCCAGTGATTATCCAGAGTCATGTATATCGTTTGTTAGTGCATTCTGTTTTTCCACTTGACTATAAAACAGTTATTTAAGCATGAAAATATCACAATCTTTCTCTGAATTAGTACTTTCAACCCCAATGTGCTGTTTTGAAGATGGCAATGTCTACAATGAATTTAACTGCTTTAAAACTTCATCTATCTGGTTAACATACAGTCTTTTAGCTTTCTCATCATTAAGTCAGACTTAGAAAATAATCAGTTGTTTCTAACTTACACTTCTGATACGTAGAGTGATCTCGCCTGTTTGTAAAAGCTGTTCAATGTGAATGCTAAAGATACGTTTCAATGACAGGAAAATTTCTCCTTCCATTCTCCCTGCGTTTATTGAAGTATAGTGTTATTTGCCGTGCATGAATGTAGAAATTTCATACTGAGAAAATGTTGTAACAACAACAGAAGACAAGGGTTAGGCAACAGATCGTTTACTTACGAAATCAACACATATTTATAGATTTTCATGTACATTAATATAGATTATTTTAAGGAAACAAACACAGTCTTCTGATTGGTGGTTTCTCACTGAACGTTAATCTTTCATCTGTTTATGGCTAATTCTTGAATGTCAGATCATCTATATGCTAACTGTATCCGCCTACGCAAAGTCTTTGTTCCCATTTTTCTCACGACCAATATTGGGGACATAAACATTGACGTAACTTACTGTTTACCGACTTGTGTGCGTCGGTGGTACAGTGGTTAGGGCTGTAGCTGACCATGCACATAGTTCGAGGTTCGATCCCCTGCCGACGCACACCTGATATCTATGATCGGCCTGCAAAATTTGGGCTACCGATATTCATGCTGAAAATTTCATACTTGTACCAAAAATACAGTGTGGAATCAAGCTGTAATATATATATAAAATTTGGCTAGCAGCCAGCTCTCACCAAAATGTTATTAGGTTGTCGTAAGGATATGATTAATTATGAGATAGACTTCAGTTATTCAAGAATGTGTAAGTATTTAAACCCGTGGAGTCTTTTACCTGTTATTCCTTTAGTTTGTGAACACGGTACATATAAAGTTTGCATGTTACACCAAGTTGTGTTGTATATTTGATTTCATTTTATCCAATGTTTCACTGATGGTTTTTGTTTTAGAACACTTCAGATGAAGTAAACGTATTTTTTGGAAATAAAGGAGGTGAGTGGAGATAATAATAATAATAATATATATATATATGCTTCTCAAAAACATTGGAAATACAAAGTCTTAACTTATACTAAACTAATTTTGCTTTTCGAATCCATTTCATACTCTGAATCGTATTCATTTTTTACTTTAACAGTTGATTACATGTAAATTTCATGCAAATGTTAGAGTATTTATTAGGGAAATACCATGCAGTGAAAGTGTAGTGGTTACTTGTTTTATTTAATTCATCACTGTGTTTCAGCCACCTAATGGGTCAATAAGTTCAATTATCGCCTAATTGTTCAAGATCAGTAGATACTACCAATGCGTTCGAAGGCCATGACTCACTAAATCTCATTTTGATTGGACACTGATAATTAGTGTAATGTATTTAGTTCTTTCTTTGGTCAAGACTGGATTCTGTCAGTCAGGTTTTGCAGTGTGGCCACCATCCCACTAGGTAGCTCGTCATCACAGTGCACATTGATTTGATGATATAAGATAGTTGGAGGCAATCGACAGGAAGGCTTGCTTCACCTAGGTTTCGTGCTAGTTGGCAGTCATCAGTAAGGCGTATCTGCAGCTAGTTACTAGTGTCCAATCAAAATACCCACTACAATGCTACAGGAGGTCAATCGCGAGCCCGAATAGCTCAATGGTCAAGTCTCTGACTGTAGCAAAGAGTGACTTGGGTTCGAACCCCAAAAGGGTCACGAATTCCTTCAAAGTTGCAGATACACCTTGTTGATGAGTGCCAACTATCAGAAAGCGTAGTTAAAGCAAGGCTTCCTGCCAATTGCCTCCAGCTATCTAATATCATCAGATCACTGAGTCTTACTTTTAGCCACTTGGTTTTGAATTTAAATTCAACTCTACCTGCTTGCTCCTGAGCGTCGAAGTAGTTTTATAAGACATAAAACAAGAGACATTCACCTGTTACATAAATGGATGTGCAATGTGACTGAATAACATTAATGTTATTAAATAATTTGATTGTTCCCCCTGTGTCTCTCAAGTAATGTTAAGTATGGTTGAGTGTAGTAGCGCACTTGCTTACCTTATCATGTACTCGCTTCAGTTTGCATTTAAAATATTAACTGCGTGGAAGTAATTTTGTCAAGCTAATTATTCAAGCATAATGTAATTGCGAAATAAACTGGGTTTTATGCGTCATAATAATATCTGTGATACTCTTTTGTTAAATATACTTTAAAAAGCTTGCCATATTTTTACTTCCTTCTTTCGTAGATTCGAAACAAAATGATGCTTTATGTAAGCGTTCAGCTGTACTTGGAGTTACGTCAACAAATTCTAACAATAATTCAGATTTAATTAGTGATTCACATAGAACTGACTCACCAGTTAGTTCAGGCAGTCCAGCTGTAACATCAAGAGCTCATTCACTGGCTAGTCGTTTGAAATCAACTCGTATTTTAAGTTCAGGTGTTTTACGTCACGGGAAACGTGGTGCGACAGATGAATCGATGGGTAGTTGTAGCAATGTTAGCTCTTTGGCATTACTTGGTCCGTCACGTCAGCTTGCAGGTGTTGTAGCAGGTCTGAGCTCATTGGCTTCAGATTCAACAACAGCGCCTACTGCAGCTGCTCTTGCTTCTGCTATGGCTGTTATCGGAGCAACTGGTAGTTGGAAACCTCAGACAGCTGTTGATTCAGATTCTGCACACCTTTCTGGTTCTACAGTTTCAGATCTATTGTCTAGAAGAGATAGTAAATTAGAAGCATTCGATGATCCACCTTCTGTTCCGCCTCATACATCTTTCGGTCCTCCTGTACATTTTGTGCCACCGCCTACTTATATTGCTGCTGGTAAGTAACTCTTGAATCGATAGTTAGTCCCTTATACATTATTTCATAGATGATGTTTACTGCTAAAATAAGGGGACAGTGTAATTGATAATAATGTAATTATTTATTTTTATTCTTTAGCGTTCTGAGTTGAACATATGGCTTCAAGCTTGAGCTTTGGAATTTCAGTAGTAGTGGTATTATTTTAACGCTCAACCTTCCTTTTTTATTGAGCTTACTTACTACTGGGGTGCCTCCGTTGGGAATTAATTCCAGATCATGTGTGCGGGGAGCAAGTATTCTATCATGGAACCACCGATACAATGTTACTTGAATAAATCCAAACCAAGAAAATAGGATATATTGGATAGAATCCAGTGAATTACAATTATTTACTTTTTTCTACAGCTCCATGTCATCTCTAGATTCTTCCATGTCAGAGTACAACATTTTTAATCATGAAATTTTCGAACATAAGGGGCAAAATATTGGGAACATTGATAAAGGATTGGTTACAGGATTTCATCATGAGCTGACATTGGTTAGAGAACCATTGGAAAACCTGGGAGTACTGGACAGCTGTTTCGTCCTAGTTTGGGACTCTTCATTAGTACGCACCCACCAGGGTTCGAACCCAGGACCTTCTGGTTACAAGGTTGGAGAGCTCGTAGACCAGTGAGCCACTGGGACTTGATCCAATGGCCCATGAATTCTAACCTCTGCCAATTCACAATACAGCGCAACCACTAGCGAAAGTCTTCGGCAAGTATTTGTCCTCACACCCGACCTGGTGCACCCTACTAGTCACTACTTCCCACTGGAATAGGATTAATGGTGAAATGATATTTTCTAAATTTTCGAGATAGTAAAAACATTAACATGGGAACGACTTGTGAACAGGTATGAATATACTAGGCCACTGCATAATAACCAGATGATAGGGCACTGTGGTAGAATATAATT